CTGATGGACAGTTAGGTTAACCTGTTGCTTAAGTAACGCTAACTGCTAACCGCTGCTTACCTGTTAGCTCGGTTAGCCATGCAGCCATGACTGGGAGCTCTTTGCATGTTGGAGTCTTGATGGCTACAGGTTTATTTTCAGTCCAGAGCTGAATAAATGGGATCACTGCAACTAGAACCATCATTACAACTTAAATCAACTAGTATTTTGAGAAACAGGAAACATTGTCCCAGCAAATAATGAATTCTGATGCCTTTTAGTTAGACTGCAGCTCAGCTTAAACACTGGCTAGTAAACTAAGATGTTCTTCTCTGATTGCTTTCAGCACAAAGAGTCCCTTCACAAATCATTGAGCTCCTTGGAGCACCTGCCAACAACCTACATGTACATGACCTGAGCACTATAGGCTACACACACAGCTGAGTGCCTTACACAAAAGCAGATGGCTCCTCAGACAGGTCATTAGTAAGAGCCGTCGGGGAGGCTGTGTGTGGTGGGTTATTTTGGGATTTAGTGTTGTGTGTTATTTAGGGATGAAAGTTGTAATTGTGACTCTATTTCTGTGTTTGTATGGGTGGTTGCCAACAGGCACCAGAGGGGAAAGACAGAGACATTTAAGAGTAATTGGCTCACCCTGTTCATGTTGACACTATTTCACAGCCGACCTACTAATAATTACAGAACTAGTGAATGGCAGCCTTTGACCTGATTCAACAGATTTTATTACAGAGGCTTTTGAAGAATGTAAGTTGCACTTGCTGATTTTGTTATTTCAACTAAAAATGAAGCAACAGAGGATGACTTTCTGAGAGATAAACAGAGTTTTCAACCATGTTCTTTCCACTATTCTTGGTCCGACTCCTACTAAAGGCGGTCATGGTTTCTGCTTAAATAATGCATGATGTCCCTGCTTTATAACAGATAATCTGTCCAGGTAAATACAGCACTGTTTAATTATCAACCTCAGAATAACATTGGTTGAACCCTGTGTGGTTGTCTTTGAGACCCAAGCAGACAAAACTATTGTACTTTTCTCTACTACCCTGTTCATTGTTTTTTTTATTATCTCAGTGTCCATCTGTTGCTCTGGTGTGCCATGTATCATCACACAGGAAGGTTGCAGAATATGTCACTTCCTGTCAAAAATGAAAACACAAATCAAAATTTACCCATGAGGTCTTTATAGAGGAAGAGTACCTCTGTAGTAAGAGAATCATGTATCTTCCTGTTTTTTAATACATATCTCAAAGGTCTGTTGGAATGGTAGTTTGTTTGTCTATCAGCAGCATTACAGAACAACTACTGGCTCGATTTTAAAGAAAAATTGTGAAAAAGTAAAGCATGGCCAATGGAAGTACCTTTGGAGCATATCAGAAACAAAGGGTGGATACATGCAATACAGTATGTTTCACATGGGAATGGCCTTGGGAAAGGTCTTAACTATCTGACCCTTTAGTTTCAAATAGTTTCAGCAACAGGGCCCCAAGTCATCTGTTAGAAGATGTTTTGACATTATGGCTCAGACAAAACTCAAATAATAGAATCGATCACAATTGCATCGAGGACATTTAAAGTGTAGATTAAATACATTGTAAAACCTAATAAAGCTAATAGAAAAATCTGTTTCCGTGCTTTATGCAAACATTAGATCTCTCCACCTGCTCTTTTTTTCAAGATGTTGGAAAATAAGCGGTTTCTATTTGAATGATGTCGAAAAACAATGCTTTCATTTCACAGCCTCCATTAATTACATCTGTGAGTCTGAGTCATTACTGCTAAACACATCCCTCCCACTGCATAACTTCTCCGCCAAATGCAAGCACAGGCCTCGGGCTCCCTGTAATTATTAGCACATTGTCCAAAGACGAGGGGAAATGCAATGTGCGACACATTCTGAGGAGCTTACAACTGTCTAAAAGCTGAATGTCATGCTGCACGCTGCTTTTACGACACTGTTTAAACGGGCTCCATGACAACCGAGACATTTAAACTTTTTGAGCTGTAGCTTGGGCCCATCCAGCTAGTCCTGACGTCCCTCTGTGTGTGACAATAGTGGACGTTGTTGGAAAGGAAATGCCTGTGAAGATAATCATTCAATCAAAAGACAGTTGTTTTTGAAGAAGATTGAAAACCAAAGCGTGAATTGTATCCTTGATGTGCTGAAGAAGAATTGGTTTGATAAAGAAAAGGCAGGGGAGGGGTGTTGAGTTGGATAATCTATACATATTTAGAATTAACTTGTCATGGACACTTTTCTTAGGAATTTCCAATTCAACAGTCCTTGAAATACACTTAATCACGTTTTCGCAAAAAGTTAGAAGGGGAAAAGAATACCACTTTTTATAATTTGTTTATTTGTCACAACCGAAGTGTAATGACAATTTGCCAATTTGTGGGGTTATTTATTGGATTATATCTTGGTAGCAGCCACCAGTGGAGACACCAGGAGGAAGTGCTCGTATATTTGTATTTGGTGTGAAATTATACGAGCTATACATAATGTGTTGGTGATAATGTGGTGAGCTAAAGAGGAATTGGCCACATTTTTTTTACGATTATACTGTTACGGTGGGTGAAGCAAGCAGGACCCAAATGCAGATTACACTGACATTGCCTTTATTTCAAGGATAAAATAATAACTTGGACAAAACGGAACACTCACCGGTGAACTCGGTCACAAACAAAAGACGAACCAACACTGAACAGAGGAAGAGACAAGACTAAATACAGGGAGGGGTAATCACGAGACGAGAAACAGCCGGGCAGGGGAGGAGAAACACAAGGGCGACAGGTGAACACACTCAGACAATTAGACACACCAGGGAAACTAACGACAGGGAGGAAAAACACAGGGAGAGGGACCAGACAATACACAAGGAGGAAAACATGACAGGGAGAACCGAAAAGCAAAATAAACCCAATANTCATTGAGTGTGTTTTTATACACGGGCAAAATGTATCTGATCAGAAAGGTCATTTTTGTTATTTGAAAGCACAAAAAACACCACAGGCTCCACTTTTAGAGCCTTCTAAAAGTGGAGCCTGTGGTGTTTTTTGTGCTTTCAAATAACAAAAATGACCTTTCTGATCAGATACATTTTGCCCGTGTATAAAAACACACTCAATGACACCGGCTGCAATACATTATCTGCGGAGCCTTGTTGACAACATCTTTGCTCTCAAAGGAGGTCCTGCCTGTAACTGACACATAAACCAACAGATAAACACACACACACACACACACACACACACTTCCTCTTAGTTCCTGTGATCATTTGGCTTTGTACATAGTTGTATTTTGATATCTTATAGTTGAGTTTTGACAGCATCCATCAAACTAGATTTGTTGCCTTAATGCTCTGTTTTCTAATATTTCTGTGTTTCTGAACCACATCTGGGTCTGCAAATAATGCTCATATTTAGTATTTAGTCTCCTGATTTTAAATGGGAATTAAATCATTTCAGTGTTCCCAAAGCACCGATGTTCTGCAGTTTGTGTGGGCCTACTGTATTTACACTGTAGAAACTAGATTCATAGGTAACCACACTGAAGATGATGGAGGTATTGATCAGTCTTCTCATATTTGTAAGCCTTAATTTGTGTGTCCCCCCCCCTCTAACATCACCAGAAGTCATAATTTAAGGGGTTATTTCTCATTTTTTTCTTCCGGGGGAGCATCCCACCGGACCCCGAGCTTGAGACCTGAAAAACAGGCTTGGGGCTCAACAGGTTGAATATTAAAATGTTCCGTACAGCAGAGATTAAATGAGTAAAAACCAGTTAACCGGTGAGCTGATGATGAGTGGCTGGCGTTGGTGGAATGAGACACACCTCTGTGTTACTGGTGAATAAAGACTCAAACCAGGAAACAGTTTGTTCCTCTTCCTCACTGCAGAGAGACAGACGGACTGAAAAACAGACGATCAGATTCACCTTCAGACCAAACTAACAACTTCCTCTGAGTTCAGCTACAGGAGAGAAAAGAGGAAACTACAGCCCTGCTGCTTCAACCTGCGGACCCTCCACCCCCTGAAGGTGAGTCTGACTCCAACAACACTCAAAGTTCATTGAATTGAAGTCAGGAGAGGAGGAGGGAGGGGAGCCATGACTGACTGTCACGATTCTTAGTTTGGTGTGATTCGTTTCTGGTTTTATTTTTGACATATATATTGTAAATGTATTATCTCTTTGATTTACACACGGCATCTATTGCACGTCTGTCCGTCCTGGGAGAGGGATCCCTCCTCTGTTGCTCTCCCTGAGGTTTCTCCCATGTTCCCTTTAAACTGTGGGTTTTCTCTGGAAGTTTTTCCTTGTACGATGTGAGGGTCTAAGGACAGAGGGTCTAAGGACAGAGGGTCTAAGGACAGAGGGTCTGAGGACAGAGGGTCTAAGGACAGAGGGTGTCGTACTGTCATACTGATATTCTGTACAAACTGTGAAGTCCACTGAGACAAATGTAACATTTGTGATCTTGGGCTATATACATAAACATTGATTGATATATATATATCATCGGCTTGTTTTGAATTAAACTTCGCTTTTTGTTGAACGTACTAGACCCTTTATTACTGCATTTGGGTCCTGCCTTACCCCAAACCCTGACACTGACTGAACTTCCTGTCTGCTGTGTTTCAGCTTCACTCAGAGACAACATGGCTTCCAGGTTAGAGGAAGATCTCTGCTGTCCGGTCTGTCAGGAAGTCTTTAGAGATCCTGTTCTTCTGTCCTGTAGCCACAGCTTCTGTAAAGCCTGTCTGCAGACCTGGTGGAGACAGAAACCATCANAAGGACATACACAAAATAAAACCAGCTTATATACATTAGCATGCAATACAGCTGAGAGGCAACAAGCTTGTTCGTGTTCATTCCAGTTTCTCTAGTTTCATTGAGAAAGCCTAATTATGGAAATAGATATCTTGTTTGCATATCGTAAATGTATGATCTTTCATTACTCGTGGGAAGAAGTTATAAATAAAAAGCCACTGATGGTGCCAGGATGTCAGGAAAAATAACTGCAATTAAGACTGCCGGCTCCATTGATTCTGTGCTGATGTACGGCTGCAGATTCTTTTGTAAAGCAGCACACGAGAACCACGCGTGATTCATACTTAAAGGTGGAGTAGGTACGTTTGAGAAACCGGCTCGAGATACACTTGTTGTTATATTCCATGGAATGCTCTTAACATCCTGATAGCAATGAACATTTTAAGGGCTTTGACAAAAAATCCATTGGTCATTTGTGCGTTCGTGTGTGTTGGAGGAGGGGCTCTGTAAGGAAGTGGCAGATTTTTTCCGGCTGTGTATTTTCAAATTCTAGCGCACTCGAGCTGGTTTCTCAAAAATTACCTACCCTACCTTTAACTGCTCAAAGAAAAGGACAACCACCACTTGATCTCCCTCACTCAGCGTGTACTCGAGGCTCATGTTTACAGAAGCAGAGCTCACTCTTCATCCAACCTCTACTTATTTTTTTAGAATGAAAGAGGCTTTCAGCAGGACACAATCATTTTCACGACACCATGGGGAAATACCATAGACTGTATATATAAAGGGCAATACCAATGAGAGGGAGGATTTTCTCTCCCACACGCTCTCCTTGAACATTAAAACGTGTAAACATGTCAAAGTAAAAGGCACAAAATACAAATATGAACCTGAAAATGAGCCTAATAGGGCCCCTTTAATAGAAACACTCTTGAGAATTCAGATTCTTCTTATCAGAGTGGTAAATAATGTATTCCAGACCTTAAGAGTTTTATAATTAATTTACAAACCTTCTTAGAAGATGATCTCAGATTTTATGTTTAATGAAAATAAGCGAGGCCCGATGTTGAAACCTTTTTGTTATTGGTGCTGCTGACAAGATTATGACATTGTCCTTTTTAAAGTACAGTTAAATGTTCTTTTCAAAGTTGGAGTTCAGGCAGAAGGAATTATTCTGGTTTAAGGCTTTCCCGCTAATCAACAGGGCAAGGTCCTTATTAAAAACCATTCAGAGGACAACCAGCGGGTGAGAAGACTCGGAGGGACAAAAGCAGACTTTACTGGCCTTCAGACTTGATCAGATCAGAGGACATCTGTTCTTCTGATCTGTCTCACAGTGGCCTCACAGCGTGGGCCGGAGAAACCACCGACTGCTCAGACAGTGTTTGTACAACAAAGCTGAACTAGGATTAATTCATCAAGTCTAATTTTGAAAATTCATTAAATAATTAGTGCTTAAAAATCAAATTCCGATATGCTGCTGGTCAGAGCTTTTCAAATTAAAGATTATACTTGGAGTTCTTAGTCTTCTTTCAAAAGAATTGTAAGACTTTTTTGTTTTTATGCTATCAGACTGCGTTTTGAGTTTTAACATGTCACTTTTGGCTCTGGTAAACTATAGTAGGCATTTGTTATTTATTGTGACATCATATATAGAGTATCAAATCATCTGACAACAGAATCTACAGATTAAAGTAAAATAATCACAACTAAATAATCGCTGACTATTAAAAACGTTGGTTTCGATAAAGCATTAAGTATGGGAGTTAATTTTTAGTGTTGAATCAGTCTTTCAATACACTTTAGAGATACACATTACAAAAGTATGTGTCTTGATGATAACACATAACAGCTAGGTTTAAATATTGGCGATCTTTATAGGAGGTAAGAGTGTACAAAGTGTGGCTATTGCCAACATAAAGCGTCCTCACAAACAGCACCTTCAGTTTTTGTTGTTGTTTGATTATTATACATTCAAAAACTAAACTGAAGTTCAAGATTCCAATTGTTATCTTTGAAACTTTTCTTAAAACACTTTTGAAAAATAACAAACCTAAAATCCATTCATCGACATTTCAGACCTGACTTATGGCAAAGTGGAACTCACAAAGGATTGCACATGTCTGCCTATATTAACCTCTCCTGTGTACATTTTTTCAAATCTGAGTAATTTGAGTTACCGGTACTATGTTTGAGAACATAATTGTATTTGGAAGATTATTTATTCTTACTGTCCTTTTGTATTGTTGTGTTGGTCAGATGTCTGCCTGTGAGTTTGTTGGCATTGTGCATTTTTTATGAGATATATTTCCATGAATTGCAGGAACAAAATTCCTTTTTCTCTGTGAAACACTCCTAATGCCAGATCAGGGCAGATGTTTGTGAGAGGATTGGGTATTTCAGTCAGAAAACACTTCAAACAGGCCACAATAACCTGTGATAATCACAGGAGATGCCTAAGTGCTACCTGCTCTCCGTATGGCCCTGCCTGTCAGTTCAAACTTAACCCAGGCTGAGAAGAAAAGGTCTGGGTCAGAAAAAGAAGAACATGAGGAGTAGGACTCTGAGGGGTCCAGTTAAAAGGCTGAAGGTTTGCAATGGGGTCGAGGATAAGAGGGCACAGGAGAGATATTCAGCTTATAGAAAAGGGTAAGCGACTTGATAGAAATAGAGACAGAAAATAAGTCAGAAGCTATTATGAGAAGTACAGATGAGGAAATAAATCCAAATGAATGAAATGAAGAAAAAGGGCAGGGTGTAGAGAGACATAATGGAGAGAGGGGGCTGAGAGAAGAGAGGGTTTAAGGGTGAAGGCCAGTGGAGGAGCAGCTCCACGTGGTAACATTTGCCTGGGCAGTTCTAGCCTCCATCACGCATGTGCGCACATCATAAAGCACAATATGAAATATTCACTCCTTCTGCCCCTCGACACAGAGTTTATTTTCGTTGCCACCAAGGAGGCCTGCTGCTGAGAAACTCAGCACTCAGCAAAACACTGGGAGGCTGGCAGGACAGGGAACTGGGCAGGAGATGGAGGAATGCGACACAGACGTTGTTAAGAGGTGTTAAGGGTGAGATAAAAATGTGCACAGAGAACAAGAGGAGGTAGTTACTGGAGTGGGTTAAGAGTGAGTTGCTGGGGGGATAGTGCAGCGCTGTACATGGTGTCCAGGCTAAGTAAGGTAACGAGCGATGGCAGACAGCCACTGCAAAGATCACAAGGTCTGCAGTGACATCGACCACACAGGGCATGTGATAATCAAGGCTGACATAAGCAGAGTTGAACCACAGTTGCATAAAACTGACCAGGAAAATCTGATATCTGACAGGAAGTAGTTGAAGGACAGCCTGTTCAGACACCAGATGTTAAGAGTAACTTGCTGTGTTTGTGGAAAGAGGAACTGGTGGGTCCGAACCATAAGAAATACAGCTGACCTGGATATGCATTTATATTGTTGTTAATAGGGCATCTGTAACCAGAATGTGACATTTTAAACACTTTACATTGTGTAACATAACCAAAAAAGCAATAAAAAAATAGCAAAATCTATTGTTTTCACTCAGCCCTTGTTCAAAACTACAGATATCTATGATAGTCTGCAAGCCAGTGGCCATCACTTTCACAGAATAAGATCAGACCAAACCTCCATCACAGTTTTAAAGTGAGCCAATACAAATGCATTTTCAACCCTCAATGAGGCACATTAAGCATTGCAGCGCACACCGCATAGCAGGATAGTGTTATAGTTGCATGCCCCAAACCTCAAATTAGGCATTAAACTATCAGTTCCTTATTCGGGTCTGGGGGATGTAAAAGGACCGCTGTGTTCAAAGAGTCAGATGACGAAGAAGACGACTAATCAGTATTCTTATGCAGGCGGGCTACAGCCTCCACACTCCATGTTCAGCCAGAGGGGAAGCGATAGGCCATTCGGTCAGTTATCTTTGGCATACACAGGAAGCTCTGCAGAGCAAGAAGAAGGCCTGTGTAAGCCTGGATATAACTGTGTGTGTGTGTGTGTGTGTGTGTGTGTGTGTGTGTGTGTGTGTGTGTGTGTGTGTGTGTGTGTGTGTGTGTGTGTGTGGTGGCATTTCTGGTCCCTGCAGACCCTGCAGAGTGTGAAGCTGTAGGGGTGGAAATGCTGTGGAAGTTGGTGGCTGTCATCAGCACATCCTGTCTACTGTGTGCTGGTGATGTCGAGGGGCTTGTCTCTTCCTCCTTCTCCTTCCTTGCAATGAGTGGTCATCTGGCTTTATTAATTAGTAATAAGAGACTTTATAACTAAATAATATGAGCAAGATTCATGTATTCAGACAATGATATCACCCCCAGTGCTACTTTTAGCAAGCTCAGATCCAGCATAGTATGACATCATTGGGATTTTCAGCCTGAGCAATCCAGCGCTGCTGCTACTTACCCACACTACAACCATTGATGAAAAGCAGCTACATCCGTAGTAGCCTTATGTGCTATTGCTAAATCTAAATTGTGCGCCTTTTACACTCAAACGCACCACTCATAGTGTGGAAACAATACGGCGACGTAGTTTCAGAGAATATGCTTGCAATTGTGACATAAAGTTAGTTTGTAACACAACTACATAGTCATAGACTGATGGTATACGACGGCAATGTGCAATAAATGAGCTCAAATGTGTTACTATGATGGAATAACTATCCAAAACACGACTAATAAGAGGTTATATGGTTAAGGAAAGTGGATTAAACCGTAACGTACACGTCATCTGTTGGTTTATTGTGCTGATGGTGCCGTTACATGTAAACGTTAATTTGCCGCTGGACCTTTTCTCCGTCCTATTCAATTTTACTATCAGTTTAGGTTTCAAGAGACTTACCCCAAAATGACCAATTCGCCGTATTTTACCGGGTCTTTAACGGGCACATCATCATCTCCGTCTTTTTTCGGTGAATTCATCAGACTGGACTGCTCCAGAAGAAGAAAAAAAACGCGTCCAATAGTGCTGAGATAAAACAATGCTAACACACTCCAAACTGAAGGGAAGTGATTCGGGTTGTGGTCTAATAATGTTTGGGCACAGTTTGGCAAAGTTTTTCTAGACTTCTCGCTGTTTGTTTTATTGTTTTAATCCCGTGAATGGGCATCTTTTCGTGGCTTTAATGCTAGTGTGTAGCTAGTTAGTATCGCAACATATCTGTTCACTAGCATAGGATACAACAACGGCTAACGGCGGGGAGTGGGGCGTACCATAATTTGTAGGGGTGGTTATTCAAAATGTAACTAGAATTTTTGTACAGAATTTCCTCTGCCTAGGGAATGTGTGTTTGTCAGGAGTTTCACACAACAACTATATTGTACTAGCGTTTTGGTTAATGAAATGCTTTCATATATTTAATATGCACATATACTTAAGCACAAACCCTCCTGTGGAACATAGAATGGAGGCAGCCTTGATGAGAAACTGGCTCCCGCTGATAGAATAAAATTAGGCATTTCGAAATCCAGAGGAAGTGTCCACATCCCTTGGCATGTAGAGCCGCACTGACACATTTAACGTTAAAGACCCAGACCATTTAATGTCATTTATGGAAAAACATACATCTGATCTCGTGGACCATTATGGAGTCTGACGTAATGAGATGCTTCGGGGGGTGTGGTGTAGATATAGGATTTGGGTCACCATTGCGCCCCAAACAAAACACCTTTTTTTCTTATTTTCGGAATTTAATGTGGGCGATGGGAGACAGAAATAGGCCGACTGCTCTCTTTAAACATGTTGCGAATGTTCCCACACTTCCTCACACTCTCTCTATCTCTCTCGCTCTCAATAAAACGAGTAGTGTTTATGAATTTGCTCACAAGGCTGTGACCACATGAGGGCAGTGCACCTCAGTTTCAAAGTACAACTTTTCAGTCTATGACGAAGTCAGTAAACTGTAACTATTTATGCAAATGCGTATGTCCACACATCTTGTTTACCACCCACTGTATTCCACCATACAGGTTTTCTGATGGTGTAATGCTTTGGGATTCAAAGGTTTAGAGTCAACAGTTGAGATATATTGTTGGGACAGCTGCCTTGTCACCTATTTGACTCAAGTTCCTCCAATAACCTGGTTGCTGTAAATTGTTCTTTGATGAGATAGAAAGCAAAGCCTCAGCTGCGGGCTTTTTGGACGGAGCCAGGGTGTCTGTAACATAATATGTTCCCTCTCCAGCAGCCCGGCTTTCTTTATCTGGAACAGTATCCTCCTCCTTCTTGGCAGGCGAGAGTAACATGTAGTGACTTGCATGCAGGGTAAGGAACATAGGCACCATGCATAATCTGCATGATTCTGCATTGTGCAGTGAAGTTTGTCCTTGCTATCGGGTGTGTTTCACTGTGCAAATGTACAGGTGTGAGTGTGACTGAGTGATATGATAAAACATTCAAATAGAAATGGCCGTGCCCCCTCTCCCACATTTCTGCATAGGAGACTGTTGAGGACACTGAAAGCAGGGATGACTCATGAATGAGTTTTAGCATAAACCAAAGCAAACAACCAGCCACACCCTTGATGCAACGACAGCCCACTGAGTAACTAATCAACCAACTGGAGTGCTGACTCACCTCATGAGGGTATAGAGTGGTACGCCAGTTGTTCTGTTTGTATCACATACTTTTCATGTGAGATACAAAGTAGAAACTGGATGGACCAGATGTGTGTGTGTGTACGTGTTTCAGTTAGTGTGAGTTTCTCTCTTTCCCACTTGGGATTAAGGTCACACCCTTCACACTCTGTCAGTGGCGTGCACAGACATTTATAGGGGCAGGTGCTCAAGAGGAAAAAAAAGGGCACCTTCTGAGTCGTCGTGGCGCGAAGCGTGCGGGCACCGAAATTGTGCGCTCCGAAATTGTGCGCAAAACATTTGCCGGTAATTTCCCTGGTGGAACCGCCAGCTGCCTTAGTAGTGTGAGATTTATTAAAGGCACATCTTGTATGTCGTAATTGCAAAGTGCACAACGAGACTAAATGGATGGATGCAAGAAAATAAGTGAAGTTATAGTTTAGTTTGGCATCTGATTTAGGGGATTAAACAATACACTCGTTGTATTTGTTACCTGGTGGTTACTTACTTGGTCGTCACTAGGGCACTTTTAATTGTGTTGCTGCGTGCTGCTGCACCACACACCCGCCGTGGCCTGTCTGACTGAGTGACTGACTGTCTGCTCTGCGCGCTGCGCGTTCACGTTGAGAGCAGGGAAGGGAGGGGCTGCAGCCAGTGCACGTACGGGAGTGCCGCGGGGCACGTGTGGGGATGTCTGACAAAATTACAACGCGCATTTGGGACATTGTTGTATATATTAGAAGCTTTTAATCCAGAATTGATCGATGTTACCATGAGCCACATACAGTACACTGTAAAAAAAAAAGAACTGTAAAAAACGAACTTTCAAAAGAGCACATTGCTGTCCAGAGGGCAAAACGGGCAGGTGCTCAAGCACTACTTAGAGTCTATGTGTGCACGTCCCTGCTCGACCGTTAGTCCCTGAGAATTGGCGCAGACCCGTTTTTGAGGCGATTGACAACCTTTTCCCACCCCGGCGGGAAACCATACCTTTTCACAATGGTGGACAGGATGACCCGCTGGCCCGAGGCCATTCCCCTCACCTCGACGGCATCTTCTGACATGCCCGAGCATTCATCGGTACATGGGTGGCGCGCCTTGGGACCCCGTCTGACCTCTCCACTGACCGGGGACCCCAGTTTATTTCGGAGATCTGGAACGCAGTTGCAGAGGATTTGGGGGTCAAGCTGCACCATACCACCGCCTATCATCCGCAGGCTAACGGCCTAAATGAGTGTTTCCACCTATCCTGGAAGGCAGCCCTGCGTGCCGGCTTGACTGATGATAACCTGGTGGATAAGCTCCTGTGGGTTATGCTCGGTCTCAGGTGCGCCCCCAAAGAAGACCTGCAATTCTCATCGGCGGACCTTGTGTATGGCCAGATGCTACGAGTCCTAAGGGGATTTCATTCCGGATGCCACTGTGCCCTGGTCTGCAGCCAGGCAGCGCTCCTCAATGCTGGAGACCGCCGGGACATTCACACCCGTCCCCACAGCAACCCCGCTGTCCGGGTGTCCCCCGGGCTACAGTCGGCGGATTTTCTCTTCATCAGTCACGATGCCCACCTACGGCCCCTTATGATGGCCCGTTCAAGGTCATCCGGCACGGGGACAAGGGCCTTGAACGCTGGTGGCAGACCTAAAACCGTGTCCATCGATAGGATTAAGCCTGCTCATGTGGACGTTTCCAGGCTGTAGGAGTTGGCTCTGCCCCCACGTCGGGGCCGTCCTCCCATGGACCGCCCCCCTCCCCCACCCCCTGTCGGGGTGCCCTCGCCTTATGGTTCTTGACATGATCTCATTTACAAGAATCATTGAAAAAGTTGAGCATACATTACATGTCATTTCTATTGGCACAAAATAAATATTATTTATTATTAAAACTTACTCATTTCGGTCTTTACTTACCTTTTTACCTTAGAATTTTTTTCTCCTCTAATAAGGTAGTTTTACTCGAAACATAAATTACTGGACGAAGGGTGAAGGAACTTGTCTCCCTGTTGACTTAACTTGTTGTAAAGATTCTAGTTGGTAGTTAGGGTACTTTGACAGAAGATCTAACTCCGACGTCCGGTTAACCACTAAGAATTTATGGACTGTTTTTCTTCTAGAATTACCGGACGTAGTAGAAATGTATTTATAGTATGTGTGAAGGGAAGTACGACGGTGAACCTCCGTGGGTTCACGGAGGTACGAAAGGACATTACGTTGGGAGTGTGGGTAGGTGAGGTCGGTTTGTTTTTGGACGTAACCAACATTAGTTTCGTTAGCAAAAGTACAAATTTCTCATAAAGTAATACAATTACACCTTTATTTGGATTCAAGTAAATATATGTCCATAATATCTGTCCTATACAAAGTAAACCAAAAATAGAAAAGAACTTGGTCATTTTCCCTTTTCATTATGTACAATCTCCTAAAACCTCGTTCCGCCGTCCCGCCTTTATTGTGGCTTCATTCAAAGTTTTATTTCAGGAGCAGGACCAGTTGCACCCTACATAATTCCTCTTGTTTGACGTGAAAAAATTCACAAAAAATTGAATAGTAATCTTCATTGTTTCTCTCTCGGCATCTCTGTCAGAAAGTACAGGAGAGAGTCTCAGATAAAACTATTCTGATCAAAAGGTTACAAGCCAAAATAAAACTTTCTATAACTAGGTATTGAGTTTGTGTTAGCTACCAGAGAATTGTTGGTATCAATCCATCTGCTCGTCAAAGTCGGAATAAACGGACGAACAACTCATGATAAAAGACACGTCACAGCTCTCTGCCCTCAGTTTTCCACCACACAGTTTTCTGTTTCGATCAGAACATAAAGTTGTACATTTGTTTTGAGTTCGGGCCCCCTTTGACTGACTGGCCTTTTGCCCTTCAAGGAGATTTCAAATTTCACAGGGTACGCCTTGTGTTATGGGGGTGGGTATCAAGGCACCCGACTTAATACAGTTGGTTGGTGTGTTTGGGGGGTCCTAAGTGGGTACTAGTTTTAGGAGGAGCGTAGCCCCTCCTTCCTGGTGGGCTTGGGCCGCTCATTCCTCTTGTCCCCGGCTCCTCCCGCCCCAGCGTCCACACGGGAGCGGCAGCTGTTCGAGGCTCCCGTTCCCAGAGGTGCTGTCCCCCTCCCTGGCCTGCCTNTCTCTAGTTTCATTGAGAAAGCCTAATTCAGTGTGAGAAAAAGTTTTTAGAGAGTACTTGTCCATGGACAAGTGAGTTTGGCAATTTACTTGTCCGAATTATTCGGACAAGTAAATTGCCAAACTCACTTGTCCATGGACAAGTACTCTCTAAAAACTTTTTCTCACACTGAATTAGGCTTTCTCAATGAAACTAGAGAAACTGGAATGAACACGAACAAGCTTGTTGCCTCTCAGCTGTATTGCATGCTAATGTATATAAGCTGGTTTTATTTTGTGTATGTCCTTGCTAACATTTTGTCCATCTTTCTCCAGGTACAATGGCTCTCTACCGACCGGAGACCGCGGGCGCAGAAAGAGCCGCTTCGCTCTGTACCGAAGGGCCAAGGCCAACGGTGTCAAACCCAGCGCTGTGCACATCCTCAACACCCCACAGGACACAAAGGTATGCGTGTGTGTGTGATGTGTGTGTACTGTTTTATCAGTGTGTAACATCCTTCCTGTGACTCCCTGTTGTCTTTTATAAATGTGCTAGAGGCAGGATGACTAAGCATGTTGACTGGCGTATGTGGGCTGTCTGTCCTTTTTGTTTGTAGTTTTTTGTGTGTTTCAGCCTACATACGGATGCGGGATTGTATGATGATTGACGCATGGTGATGAATAAAGATTTTATCACCATCATGTCATTGTCAAATGCTTCTGTCACGTCTAAGAATAAAGAATGAGGCTAATTACATTTAATATTAAATCCTATATTATTGACTTTGAACTCATAATATAAGTTTGATATGTGTTCTGTGATGAAAATGAAACACTCTTACAGAAGATGAGTGTTCATCAACTCTGCTTTTTGCCATTGTTGTTGCAGGCGGTCCACAGCAGGGGGCAGCACAGCATCTCTTTCACGCTGTCCCGTAACCAGACAGTGGTGGTGGAGTACTGCCATGACAACAGCACAGACATGTTCCAGGTAACCACAGAGGAAATCAACCAAACAGGGTCAACAACGGCTCGCTTTACAACTCTCCTAATCCTAGATTTGTGATCACGTGAACATTTCTCCTGAAATATGATGTTATGTAACGCCATCAAAGGAATTTCTCCAGTAGGAAGGTTATTTTGGTTCTGTTGTGACCACAAAGTGTGTAAATCTGTCTATTTTTATACACAAAGTCTGCTCTTAGAATAGTATCACAGGTTTATTTATTTTCCATCAACAATTGATGACGTATCTTTCCTACAAGGTGATAGAAGCCACAAGCGTGGAGAGAAAAACATTTCCATAAACACCATCAAGCTAGTGTAATTCTGAAAGTATGAATAACTCTGTAGTTAAATATACCAATACCAACGCATTGATTTGAATGCAGTTGGTTTGATGAACAGTGTCGAGAAATGCCAATGAACTACAATGACCCCCTGTCTGTGCTTTACCACGCAGATTGGACGCTCCACAGAAAGTCCCATTGACTTTGTGGTGACAGACACCTCGGGAGGGGGGAAGGAGGGGGAGGACCCCTCCATCGCTCCCAGCACCATCTCACGCTTTGCCTGTAGAGTAGTGTGTGAACGCAACCCACCTTACACCGCACGAATCTACGCCGCCGGCTTCGACTCCTCCAAAAATATCTTCTTAGGGGTGAGTAGACTGATGATCGCATGTTTCTGTTCAAATGTACAGTTTTTGAATCAGTTATTCAAAATACTCTGGTGTATTTGGGCCTTCACAGGAGAAAGCAACCAAATGGAAAAACCCTGATGGGCATATGGACGGCCTGACCACCAATGGGGTGCTGGTGATGCACCCGGAGGGGTTTCCAGAGGACCCTAAGCAGGGCCTGTGGAGGGAGATCTCCGTCTGCGGGGATGTTTATGCCCTGCGGGAGACACGCTCTGGACCCACCCGGGGAAAACTGGTGAGGCACCCTTTTGGTTATCTTCTCCTCCAGTGTTCATTTTTGTCAGCAATTTCGTTGATTTAGTCCTGTGTAAAAACTCCTTTTTTTAAGTCAACCCCAATCAATTATTTTGTCGGTTTAGTTAACATAAAGTAGGGCATTATTTCACAGTCAAAAGAAAACATAACAATTTTAATATGATTTTAATCAATGATAACTTTTCTTTATTTTTTTAGATTGTAGTCTTTATTGTATTCTCATATCAGACATTTTATTTTTTTTATTCTATAAAAATGTTGTATTATATCTTCAACAAAGTATAAATAAAGTTACGTATTGCATTTTGATATAATCACCATTAAGGTTTAATGACGTGGGGGCTCTCTCATCCGGAAAAAAAAAGGTTTTAAAATAATATTGTTCATAGTTTTCATTACCAGAATGACCACTGTCCATTTTGCTTTTTGCCGTCATTCAGGCTGTGAGGTTACAGCTGTTAGATCCTAAGCATGTGTGTGTCTGTGCAGGCGGAGGGTGAGAGCAGTGCGCTACGTGACGGTTCTCTGGTGGACCTGTGTGGGGCCACCTTGCTGTGGCGTACAGGTGAGGGGCTCATGCGGGCCCCCACCCTCCGTCACCTGGAAGCCCTTCGCCAGGAGCTCAATGCGTCCCGGCCCCAGTGTCCTGTAGGCCTCAGCACACTGGCCTTCCCCAGCCTGCCACGCAGCCACAGGTGGGAGCCAAAGTATGTTTAAATCCTCCTCATTATTTTCTATCAGGTTGTTTGTCTTGTTTCATCTTCAGTAGCCTGCCTATAAAAAAGCCTCAATATACGGTGGCAGCGCACAGCTGGTGATTTTGTAATGCTGACCCGAATGATAGCATGACAATGGGCCTGTCAAAAAGCTAATGGGATTTCTTTATTGGATTGGATTTTTTAATATTGCAGAAAAAAAGGCTCTGTGGCAAACACACATTTTTGATACTTGCTTGTCTTGTCTAGCAGCATAATCTCCACATTTTAGGACCACACTACATGATATTCTGCTGCACTTTACCACCGCTAAGCTGAAGTCGGACTTGTTGTGATGATGTCTAGAAGTCATTTAGCCATTTTTTCAACCACCATTTTCATAACACATAGAAGCTTTAGAAAATCATGAGACGATTATTTTCTGACGTGTTTTTTATCCTAAAAGTGAAAAATCTTGTTAGCCTGTGTTAACCACAGATTCCTTTAAAAAACAGTTGACCTCGGAAGTGCTAAAATGCTAACTTATTTCTATGTTTTAGGACTCATTCCTGCACCAATCTCTAGTGTTATAAGTTTAAATATAAATCACTGGTATTCACCCAAAGTTTGAAATACTCACACTGTTGATGTTTTGCTTCAGCCTTGAAGAGCGTCAGCCCTGGGTCTACCTCACATGCGGCCACGTCCACGGACGCCACGACTGGGGCCAGAGACCCGAGGGGGTGGAGATGCCGGGGGAGGGCGAGGTATCCACCACCAGGCGGGAGTGTCCCCTGTGCCGGACGGTGGGCCCCTACGTGGCCCTGTGGCTGGGCTGTGAGCCCGCCGTCTACGTGGACGCTGGAGCTCCCACTCACGCTTTTGTGCCGTGCGGCCACGTCTGCTCGGAGAGGACAGCCAGGTACTGGGCCGAGACCCCGCTCCCCCACGGGACGCACGCCTTCAGACCCGTCTGCCCCTTCTGCTCCAGCGCACTCAGCACGCCCGGCTGGACGCGGCTCATCTTCCAGGGCCCCATCGATTAGCCGCCAATCTTTGGCAAACCACTAACACAGTAACACAAAGATGCCTGAGCTTCATTCATGTTTCAAACGTGGGTCAGTGTTCAGTGGGGATAGGGAGTGGATCAGGAGTGCTGTTCTTTTCAACAGCAGATCTGCTTCTGGGTGGATCACTGACACTGTCCAGCTTTGTTACCGAATGCAGCTCAAAGCTAAATCCCTCCCCTTGTTCATCCTTTAATGCTTCTTGATTGGTGTAAGATCTTGAGAGTAGGTTGTTAAAACACATGATGGAGTGATCGATAGGGTCACATGGACAGTGTTTACTCTTTCAGGGAAGCTGCTTTTCCTTCCAACCAAACACTACACTGCTTAGCTAACAGCAACAAGAGAGGATTCTCATAACTAAAACTGTAGCTTAAACGATGCTGCTCTAACCCATTTTAAATTAATTCAACTCATGATGAAATGACCCACTAATTTTCCACTTTGTCACCCGAAACAAACAGATCTAAACCCTTTTATTTGACTGTTTCAGAAGCCATGTGTGAAATGACATGTAGCTTTTTGCACAGAAATAGGGAATGGCCTTTTTTACTCAGTTGATCTGCTGTCTTGCACGTCTGCAGCGCCTGTGTGTCCTTAACTCGGTGAAACCCCACCTCTTGCACTTCTTCTCGGCCTGACCTCGGACCACTTTTATCATCCCTAACACAATACTGTAATGCTGCAACTCATAAAACAGTTTTCATCTGTTCTCATCAAAAACTCCTTATTTTATAATATCATATTATATCTGATTCCCCTGTCCCCTGAACATCTTGCTGATTCGTCTGAATCCTGAGCGGGACATATTAACTGCTAATTGTGAATATGGGAGGTGAAATCAGAGTCTTTTAATCATAATTTTACGTTTTTAGTGATTAATACAGGGAATTATTAATCATTGTTAAAGTGAGTGTATGCAGTTTTTCCTCTTTATTCCTCATGCATCTTTTTAGTGTTAAATATATGCAGTGAGACCCCGTGTGTAGTACAAAGTTGGAATGAAAGCCTGCAGACTTCTCTGAAGGGAACACTGCGCCGTATGATCGCACCACTACCAGTTCTCCTCTTAAGGCCAGATCTATTCCGATAATCAAGCAGAGCGAGGATAAGCACCGGGCTCGGATTGAAACCGGGTAAAAAGAAATCCACTCCATAACTCTCTACAGCAATAATAGCACTCCCATAGATAAGCTAGATGTTGTGCTATGTTTAGCCAAGTGTGAGGTCGGTGGTCACTCTTGAACGTGGCTGAAACGTTTTCCAGGTTAAGGGCTCAACCAGAGATGTGTTCAATATCACAAATTGTTTTATTTCCAAATGTAGTGTGTGTGTGATGTAACCAAAGCGCTAGAATTGAAAGATGAGAAACAGAATCAGTGATTAAACAATTATTTTAATGTTTAAAGTATGTTTTTAGGCTGCAGAAGTCATCAAAGAGCGTCTTTGTGATGATTTGAACACACTTCTGGTTACTGAATTATGCGTAAACAGGGTCCATGTTAGTACGGTGGAGTGTCAAAAAGTTTGACCTGCATAACCTCAAAAGACAACCTTTTGTTTTGTTTTGAAGAAAAACTATTTTGTTAGGAAATGGGGAGGGATTTATTTGGGGAAGCGGGAGGGGATTATTTTAGATGTTCAGTGTTAAAAAACAACAACTATTTTTCTAACTGATTATGGGTTATAGTTAACCGTTGTTACTCAGTGTAAGCAAGTTCCGTATGTTTCTGAAATATTATCGTGTGGTAGTTCTAGGAGAGCTTGTGAGTGAGAAAAACATTGCCAACACTGTGTCCAACAAACACACACTTATATACACACCGCTACCGTAAAAAAACATTGCCCAGACAATGAATGTAGCCAAATACTCAGGCTATATTTAGCCTTCCCTGGTGCTCATATTGAATGGTCTATATTGTGATACTATTTTTGTAACTGATTATTATGGTGTAGCTTTGGTGGATTAGCTCAAGAGAGAAAAAAAAAAGTCAGATCATTTCAATAATAGCCTCAAGTGTGGAAGACGTATAATTGATAATACACACTCACATGGAACATTGTGTATAGTTTGCATGTGCTGAACGTACACACACAGTATGAACACTACACGTACACTTTGAAAAACTTTGCACGGTTGATCGCCAACCTGTTCTTCATGCTGAGAGCGTCTGTCGCAGACCAACATGTCTTCCGAGTCCTCGGCTGTTAAAACCTCAGAATTTCAGTTCTTTGTTTTGGAAGACCTCTCTATAAGAAAAGAAGAAAAAAAAAAAGCCTCATACTTGATAGATGTGTGACGTTTGTGAATGAGACCTAATCCCACTTTGTACTACTATGCTAATATCTTCCACCAAACAAACTCACTGCGGAAAGAAGTCCGCTCGTTTTAATCTTGTATTCACACCCATCGTGGTATATTCAGAGCTATTCAGAGCCAGATTTGATTTTCAAAATGCCATGTGAAGTCTCAATACAAGATTTAAACTTGCTTTAGTGCGGTGGATAACTTACGTAGTGTTGATAATTACTGTAGCTCAGGATCAGTGATTTCAGATTCAGAGCTGGCGAGGCCTGCTAGAAGACACTTTCAGTCTTTCTCATAGGAGAGTAACCATGTAATGTAAAATGCCAAATTGTAGAGGGCGTACTGTGGTGTAGTGCCACAGATCTAGCATCAGTCACATACGGGTCTTTAAAAAACAAAAGAAAGGAGTGGAGGCTAGGAAAACATCTCCATCAGCTGCCCTTTACTGAGCACGCCAAATACAGTGAATCCTGCTTTTCGAAGATTATATATATAAGGATAAATGTAACACCATTGGCATGTGGATGGAGAACCGTTGCAGCACCCTCATTGGCTTCTACTTTATAATCTGATATATTTATTTTAGCTAATCTCTTTACCTTTGCTTTGTTTTAGTATTAATTTGAACCCTCTTAGGGTTATAGATGTCAATATGCAATTTCCTCCTAAATAATTCTTAGACTTTTAGTATCGGTGAATTTCTCAGTATTTTAGGTTGTTTGATATCTCAAGTTACGTCATTAGCAGTTTTTTACATTTAAATTGTCCTTCACACCAGATGGCAACACCTCAACATCCTAACTCATCTTGCTATAGTTGAGTCAGTAGCTGACACGCAACACACAGCGTAAAAACCTCACCTCTAACAATGCATTCCTTTTAATACATCCGTGTTATGTACAGCTATTTTGTATTATTTTATATCATATTCTCCTGTAATCGTCCGGTGCACAGACAATCGCTATACACATGTCAATAAACCTGTTAAAAAGTTGAATTTGCTCTGTTTCTTTGCATTTTTGTGTAACTTCTTCAAGGTTTAAAATACTGTAGATCAGCATAATGTTGAGATTGTGTTTATTACATAAAATGCAGCTCATTGTGGTTAAATAAAAAGTAATGTGCCAGCAGATGGCGCTCTCTAGCTGCTCTGTATGTGATGGCAGGGCACTATGATAAGGTTGCTGTGAGTTTGCATCACCTCTTTAATGAAGCGTTTGAATGAGCAGTTTTGGCAGTCATGTTCATCACCACGCAAATGTGAGAAGATGCCGTAAATGCCTGCAAAATTACAGAACGCTTCATTTCAAAAAAGGACAAAAAAAGCTATTTTAACGATTGAACTTTGTGTCTTTCTTAGAGACTACTGAGTTGTATTATTCAAACATTTTTTCAGAAATGACTTCACTCCATGGGGAAGAAGCTTTTTTATTTCTTTCAGAGATTGTGAATCTTCTTTCGTGCATATCTTAGTGCCACATTTAATTATTTCCCAAGCATTGGGGAGAACACCAAAAGCTGAAACTATGGAAAAAACAGTATGAAAGATCTACATTCTGACACAACCTTCAATATTCTGTATTTTTTTTATGACAAGTTATAAAAAGTGATACTTGTGATGTGCTCTCCAAATAATTAGAAGCTTTTTCCAGGTTTAAAGGAATCAAATAGAATGACTTTGCTCTAGAAGGATGAAGCTTAAACAATGTATGTCATATTGTATATACAGTTTCAGGAATAATGATTCAGTTTAGGGATTTAGGGAGCCTAACCTGAGTAACTGTTGGAAAGTTGATTCGCAGCCTGTCCTAAATACTTGAAATGAGGGCAACGTCCTTCTTTCTTCCTGAAGTTCTAATAAAGAGATTTAAATAATAAAAGCAACTCTATTTATGTGTTCACTGATAAAATACCCCAATTATATCATTTGGACTGATCTGTTAGCACTGGGTGACAAAAATAGAGGAGCTGGGGGAATGCAGAATTTGTCGGCTTTGGGATAAGATTTTGGCTTCAGGAGCATTCTGGTTTCATGGTTGACCAATCACTTGTGATCAGTCTTTGGTTGCATGCTGGTAAACAGTTTGGGTAAATTGCTATTAAACAAGGAGACGGAACCTTTATAAATGCATGTCTATGGGAAGAAAGCTCTGCACAAAATGCAATCTAGTAACCCATAATCTTCGGAACCCTAAAATATTGGTTGCTGCCCACGGAAGCTAAATTCTAATCAGATTGATAGCTGCGTGGTTCTGTTGAGTCCCTGTTTTGAAGTGGAACCTAGTGTCAAGAAGCTGAAATAGATTCTTAATTTGAAATTGTAATGTTTTTAAATGCAATATTTTCCTAAATTCCTTTGCTTTAATTAGATTATCCGAGACATGACATTTCCCATCATTGAAAATATTGTACAGTGAAGAAAACGGTGGGGGTGATGGGGACCTAGCTGCTGTGTGTGTGTGTGTGTGTGTGTGTGTGTGTGTGTGTGTGTGTGTGTGTGTGTGTGTGTGTGTGTGTGTGTGTGTGTGTGTGTGTGTGTGTGTGTGTGTGTGTGTGTGTGTGTCTGTGTCTGTGTCTGTGTGTGTGTGTGTGTGTGTGTGTGTGTGTGTGTGTGTGTGTGTGTGTGTGTGTGTGTGTGTGTGTGTGTGTGTGTGTGCGTGTGCGTGTGCGTGTGCGTGTGTGTGTGTGAGAGAGAGTGTGTCATGGGACCTAGCATAGATGATGGAGGCAGGGTTTAGTGATACAGTTCAATTCTCAGTGGAGGGATTTGTAGGTTTTGATCCCAGCTAATTAATGTGAAACCCTCAATGGGGAGCCATGGGTATCTGTATAGCTGGGAAGTTTGAAGGGGACAGTGTGTGTGTGTTTACATGCATAAATCTGTGTGTGTGCATGCCCAAAAATGCAGTAAGCATGCACAAGTTAGACATGTGAAGGAACCTGAGTTGTGTGTGTGTGTGTGTGTGTGTGTGTGTGTGTGTGTGTGTGTGTGTGTGTGTGTGTGTGTGTGTGTGTGTGTGTGTGTGTGTGTGTGTGTGTGTGTGTGTGTGTGTGTGTGTGTGTGAGAGAAAGTGTTAATCAAAGGCTCCGATATCTTCCTCTCTGTGGACTCACTCTGGAGGTAGCAGGGGGCGTTCATGCCATTGTTCCATCAATCCACCCATTAACTACAAACACTGGGAAACTTTAATTAAGCTGGGGCCACAGACGATTAATTAACTTTAAGACTTCCATTCCTTTTTTCTTCCCTTCTACACATTTCACTAAGTCACCGAGCCATAGAAAGTGTTAATTTAGCCACATAATTTACAAATCCAATTATAGCCAATATTAAGGCATCACAAGCTGCTGTCCTGTGTTCTCCGGTCTTATAAGACTATACTCTTTTGTGGCTCGAATAAGAGAGGATGCCAGCACACGTAAGCTGAGCCAAATGTATTAAACAGGGGTTAAGAGTTGTAATAAGTTTGATTATTTTATGGAGTTTATTATGCTGTGTTATCCTGTTAGGGAGGTGATGTTGTGACAGTGGGATGGTAATCCGGACTGTCTCACAAAGTGGTCTCCCACTCTGCCACCATGGAGGCTGTCATCACGTCACTGTTTGGGAAGGAAAAGCCCAATGAGAACACGTCAGAGGAGGGAGTATGTTTCATATAATGTATATAGTTGCATGGCTATAAAGCTTACTTACGCCTTCAGTCATATACTTCTTCACTGCTGATGATGCTTCAACTTCACCCTCCACTTGGGACATGCCATCTACAGAAGGTATTAAACTGACTATGGAGAATTACCTCACTCCACTTCAAACAATCCTTCCTATCCCTTTGATATTGCCAAATTTTAAATTAACTTTACATTAATGCATTTTTAATATTCACCATCTTTGTCCTTACTTCACTCTTATCTAACTCCACCAGCTGAGCTGCTGTTGTTATCAGAGGACAAGCAAAGCTACTGGTTTAGCTATAAACCTGCCTTGCCTTATGTCCTGAAAGATTCCTCAAATAATCTATCAACAGAACACAGATAGATAGTAATATTACACCTATACCTACAAACTGCTAATCTTTGAATATATTATATGCCTTATTCAGTTATTTTCAGATAAACGTAAGTATCATAACATTACGGAAAAAGAGACATAAAGATCTAACATATTCTGAACTAAAATGATCTGTCAGAGAATAATATTGCTAATATTGCTAATCTGCAAGCCTTCACTTACATTCTTACATTCTTACATTAATTCATCGTTAACTAGGGTTTGTAAGACAAACAAAAAGCATTCTTCCAGCTCTCATATATATACAAAGTCTGTAATAAGGATGCAATGCTCATGAAACACATACAAAATTGGAAGGATGGATGAATGGAGGAAATACAGTGCTATTCTTGTGACCACAAGGCAGAAAAACAAAGACGACGATTGGCCTGAGGGTGGCGCCAGAGGAACACATTGGTACATGACATGACTTTTAACATAATTGTCTTCACTAGTGTAGTCCAATTTCAATTTGACAACATTTTAGATATACATAACCTACATTAAAACAGAGTCAAACACTTGTGAGCAAACATATTATATTCCTGCTTTCAACATGCTTTGAGTGTTTTTAAAGACATCCAGCAGTGTTAAACTGACAAAAAACCACGATTAAATAAAAGAAATGGGCAGTAAGGCTGTGTACCATGCTGCAATACACACTTTTCCGTTCCAATAACCCCAGAAGCATTTTTTTAAAACTATAGTCATGTTTGCACAACTTAATATATTTATCTACCAGAAAAATACTTTCATATGGGGAATTGTATACAAATAATATATTTGTAGTTTATTCATTAGCCCGGAGACATTATGACAGATTCTAATGATAACACGATATGACCATATAATCACCATTTAAAACCAGTGAAATGTTATAACCTATAGGCTAAAACTATGACATGTATTTGTTTTCCAGCCCTAAGAGGAATACAACGTAGCCTACTATTACTTCTCTAAAACACCACGATGTTATCACTAAAGTTATTTTTAAATCCATGATGCTGGCTAGTTCTTGGTTTCTTCCCAGTTGCGCTTTGCTGTCAAGATCTCGCGATATTGCGTAGTTAAAAGGACGCAGTGGATAGCCCCGCCCCCTGCTAATAGTTGCATTTTCACTGCGCCAGTTTAGACTTGTAGGAAATGCGGTAGGTTTCTCCTTATTAGCTATTCAACCACTATTTTCACGTTTCTACATACAACATTTTACTGCCTCATGTTGTTTTTCTTAACAAACTTGAGCTAGTTTTGCTTCTAAAACTATTGTGCATTCTTAGAAGCTAATGTGACCAAGTTAATGGCTAGCTAAATGTTTGTATTTAACTAGCTAGCTAGCTAATGTCAGTGGTGGAAAGTAATGAATTACATTTACTCAACTACTATACTTAAGTAAATAATGTAGGTACTTGTACTTTGCTTAAGTATGTTCACATTATACTACTTTATACTTTTACTACACTACAATTTGTTAGCAAATGTTGAACTTTTTACTCTCCATTTATTGTATTTGTTAGTTTATTTACTAGTTAGTTCACATAATTAGGTTTATACAAAATATAAATCAACTAATATATTATTATATATTATTATAGATTAAGCTACCCAGGAGTATATAGAGTAATACAATTAAACCCGACCTTTACCAAGTGCAACATTAAAGTGATGAACACGATAATGCATCAATCATTTTATTGCAATCATTTACAATAGAAGGTGTTTAAATGTGCCATTCTGCATAATGGATACTTTACATTTTGGTACCTAAAGTATATTTGGTTAATACTTTTGTCCGTTTACTTAAAGGTGGGGTAGGTAAGTTTGAGAAACCGGCTCGAGATACACCTTTTGTTATATTCCATGGAATGCTCTTAACATCCCGATAGCAATGAATATCTTAAGTGCTTTGACAAAAAATCCATAAATAAATTTCATCTGT